AAATAATTCGGTAACAAAATGATATTACAAGTTGGAAAATTTTTTTAATATTATTTTTATGTTATTTTTAATAACGTACATTAATGTTTTTTTAATGTCGGTATTAGGCTTGGAATTTTTCTAGAAGTTCTCGAAAGTCTTTGTGAGAGCCAAGTCCAGGCGAATATCGTCTTTTCGGTTTTACCTTTAATATACTTATCGTCTGCTTCATAGCTAATATCATCTTCAGTTCTGTTCATGGCATTGCTCAGCAGAAGTGATAAATTGTAAGCTAAATCAAAATTAGCAGAACGAGTTTTTCTTTTCCTCTGATATCTTTTATTATAAATTCCAATGACCTCAGAGATCACGTGACTTATGTATAGCTAATGTAAACAAATAAGGTAGATGACCTGAGAGAACACGTGACATATGTATAGCTAATATTAAGAAATGAGATCACAGAATGTATCTCATTATATTCGTAAAAGCGAGAGCGCAACTGAAAAAGGAAAAAAGGGCCTTCTGATTGTTTGAAAATGGTTACTAAAATCGGGAAACCAAAGAAAAATTCAACGCATTGTTGCAAAGTACCAAATAATTAGCATTCTCAAAAGTTGGGAGAATTCAGAAATAGAAAATATTGACGCCAAAAGGGCCCTTTCTTTCCACAGTGCCCTCATCTTTTTATTCGATAAGAAAAATTGGAGATGACCTGGCATTTACCTTCATCTCGTTTAATAGGCATAGGGACGATCAATTATTTGCACTTTCCACGTAATCCTCTAATATATCACGTCATTATGTAATATATAAAATATGAAAGAAAATTACTAATTTCAGTTTCCTCAGTTTAATTTGATTACGTCCCCTTCCTGGAACCTAAACTGCGTCACTTGAAAACTAATCCGCATTATGCCACCTGCAATGAGGTGGCTTTCGCCCTGTTAACATTCAGAATTTAAACAAAAGATTTAACGCTATAAATACGTTTTGATTAAATGCGCATTTTCTCTTTTTCGTATCTTCTTCTCACTGTCTAAATGCGCATTGCTCATATCTCTTCTTCAGCCATTATCCAACGATGTGATGCGTTTTATAAAAGCGTGAAGAGTACTTCTTGCGCAAAAATTATGTGTGAACATGTTTACGCTTATCATGTATGTTTACGCGAATGTAAAAATTTCAATTTATTATTGAAGTTTTTTTTATTTGTGTGAATATAAGCAGTAAAGCTTTTCCAGGTAATTACAGAGATGACACTTCGTCGTTAACAGCTATCTTCTAATCAAGTCATCTTTACAAAATTATATATATATAGTATATACAGTGACGAAGCAAAACATTTAATGACCATCTCCACATCAAACTTGCTTGGATGACATGGAGGGTACGTAATTAAGTGGCAATGGTATTTAACTGCTGCTGGAGAAGATAAGGAAGCATTCTTGCGCTTACTTCTGCGAGTGATGGGAAAAGCTGCTGATCTAAGCGAATTTGATAGAAGGCAGATTGTAATGGCCCGAAGACTTGGAACAAGTATCTCCGAAACTGCACGACTGGTAGGTTATATACGACCTGTTATTGTTAGTATTTATGCAAAGTAGATAAATGATGGGGAAACCAGTAGTAGACTCCAAAGGTTTTGGACGTCCACTTCATCAAAGAAAAAGGACGTCGGAGACTGTATCACTTGGTACAGTAAAAATTGGCGCTAGACAGTGGCTCGGCTGACAACCCAATACAGTGCAGGTCCACGTGCAAGTGTTTCGGAACACATAGTTCAGCGGACACTGTTGGATATGGGAAAACACAGCAGCCGTCCCACACACGTGCCTCTGTTGACCAAGTGTCATGGTCAACTACGAGTATAGTGGGCCCGGGAACATCGAGACTGGATCATGGGTAAGTGGAGGACATTTGCCTGGTAGGATTAATCACGATTTCTGATTCGCCACGTCAGTGATGGTGTCAGGGTACGCCGTCCTGCAAGCAAACAGTTGTTTCTTCCTGTACAGCAAGTCATACATAGGCTGGTGGTAGCGATATTTCGGTTTTGGCGGACGTTTTTATGAGTGGCAGTGGGACTCTTAGTTGTGATAGAACAGACCATGAACGCTGCGGATTATCAGAACATAAATGTGAATCAATTACACCCTTTCATGGCGTCTGTTTTCCAACTGGAAACGGAATTTTCTATTATGACAATACCTCATGTCACAAACTGCGATCGAGTGATTCGAGGAGCATAAGGATGAATTACAATTAATGCCCTGAGCACATTTAGGATGTCATGGGCAGGCAGCTCAGAGTTCAAACACCACCATGTTGGAATACCTCGACTTTGTGTGACCGCTGCTTAGACATTTGGTACAATGTGCAGAAGATCATGAAATTTTTTATAGCGAAAATGTCCAAACTCCATCCACATTAATGTATGTGAATGTAGTTTGGAAATTTTCGTCAAAATCTGAATGATTGGACAAAACAGAATTTTTTAAACATTGCGTGAAAAATTAACATTTACATATAGTGGAACTTCAAGTTGTCTTTTCTCAAAGGGATAGAGGAAAAAATCATGAATGTGGGAAAGCAATAAAGCAGAAAATTTTTAGCATTATAAATGAGTAACATACTAAAAATAAATACATTTATCTCCTTCTGCCTGAGAACATTACGCTGAAAAACTAATTTAATGGAAAAAATTGTCCATTTTCTTAGCTTTTTATCTGAATTATGCTTCCACTGACACGATTTTCGAGTAGGACCAGTAGTGCTTCTCTTAGCGCATAGAAAAAGGATTTGTAAAGCTTCCTAATCTCAGTGAAGTTCGTACATTCTTTTATTCATTTTTGTTTTCTTCTTCCGTTTTCCTTTTAGAGTTAAACCGAAAACTCATCCTGAAACCCTAGAAACCTAAGAGAAATAAATTTATTAGAACTCGCAATTAAATAACTCCAAATGGATGTATTAGATGGGGAAGAAAGACCGTTCACCGTGATCTGAACTTTAATCGAACTACCAGTTTCAGTGATTTTACCGAGGGTCGCTAGGGGACAAATAATAGAGGGAAAGAATGCTAATAAGACGAAAACGAATCTGAGGGCACACACGAAACACTATTATTTTACTCTCTTGCCAGATTTATAATTCAGACAGAAGAAAATAATGCAACAAATCAATTATATGAACTTGGCCTAATTTATTTTATCCCTTTCTTCTACCAAAGTCATCCAAGTAGGAAATGTTGCTCCGGAAATCGGATTTACAGAAGGTGACTACGACAAAACGGTAGTTCATAAAATGATGAATGAAAAAAGAAACGTATTTCTAGAGAATTTTATTGGATCCGCAGATAAATGAAAAACAAATACATGCAATAAAAAGATCGTTACGAGAATGACAGCTCGAGGCTCTTCTATATTTGAATACCAATGTAGAAGAAGACAATAAACTGCTGATTAGTTAAATGTTTTTCCACCGAATATGTTACGATTAGAATTTTATTACTTTCTTTGAATGTTTTAATCCTTCGCCATAAAAATTAGAAGAAAAATATAACTACATGGAAGAAATCATACCTTTCTTTTTCGTACATATTCTCGTTTGGAAACGCCCACATATATCTCATACATATTCATACACTAATGCATCCATATATATTGCACATTCATAAATCTAATTTCCAGACAGTCATTAATAAATAACGTATAATTATTTTGAATTTTTAATTTAATTACTTTTAATTTATGCGATTTCCCAGTCAAAAACATTGCCCTAAAACATTTATTTGCGATAAATAAGAAATAATTACATATATTATGTTTCTGATGAAACAAATTGAACACTTAAAAATTGGTTAAAGATCAGTTTAGTTTAAATTGTAATCAAAATAAATTAATTTTTTCGCGAAAATCTGAGAAATAAGTGAATAAAAATAAACACTTTTTAAAAATGTTTCGTATTTGGAACATTAGCAATTAATTAACTACGGAAAAGAAAAGTATGTGCGTAGGGAACTAGTGTTGTAAAGAAGACTTTTCTACGGCAGCTTTTATGTATGTCTCTTGTAGCAAAACTAACGAAAGTTCCCACGATTGATTAAATCATAAACAAACTTTTGTCCATAGAATTATTTTATACTATATTTTTTTAAATAGCGCGTTTCAATGTATACACTATATTAAAAATTCGCCTCTTTAAAAAAATTCTATATTAATGAAACGTGCTACACACAATGAAGAAAAAAAGCTGAAATGATTAAAATTAGATTTCACTCTCTTTTATTGAGCGAAATTAGATGCAGAACCATAATATTAGTATGATACATAGCTGCTTTTGGTAGCAACAGCAAAGGCTATTCAGTCTGGCATAAACTCACACAATCGTCGAATGCTGTTTTACAGATTTTGTTGCGAGGAATTATGTAGCTGTTAAGCAACTGCACGCTCGTTAAAAGATAGCTGGGCCCAGGGTTTTAACATATCCCAAACCCCATGTATATTCAGCTGAACAAAGATTTGGATTCTGACAGACGAAGGAATGGTGGTAATACTATGCTGACATCCTCAAGGAATGGCTCGAAAGATGGTCTTGTACCTTCTACAGAAGCTACAGCAGTGGCATAAAACTAGTCGCAGGATGCCATCTGGAATCGTCGAACTGTTGTGCTGAGATGGGTCACTAAAGGATGCTACGTTAGATAGGCCACGGCTTCCCAAACGATAATGTCAGGTAAGATGGACGTATGCCTTTCTGCAGTGATAGGGGATGACCAGTATTGGCCAAGGGCAGTGATAGGGATGACCAGTATTGGCTTTATTAATATAAGAATTCTTGATAATTTAATTATAACAAAAAACATGATTTTTCACTCAAAAAGATACGATTCTAATCTGATATATTAGCTTCGCCGTCGTGAGATCAGAATAAGCGTTGAATGCGATGCTTAAGACTTGAAGATAGATGTCGATGTCGTTATGTAAAATATCGCAACAGATGTTATTTATAGAATCTTGTCGTTTTACAGCAGTGTTTTATTATAATACACGTTCCTGTAAATGTGAATACAATAGTTCTAAATGACAGGCAAGGAAACTTTATATATGGTATTTATGACAATTCATTCTAGATTCAGTCTTGACTCTCCTCCGGGCAACTCATTCTAGGCTTTCCATTCCCTTCTTAATGTTTATCGATGCCCTGCTGAAACCATTAGTAGCATCTTCAGATCTTCATAATGGCATCACTCTATACTGGGATATTCGTCAGTATGACCAATCCGCTTCCTTTAAGGCAATGATAGGTTCTCTATCGAATTCGCTGAAACGGTTACACCATCGTCATTCTTTGGAATGTTTCCATTTCCTAATGTAAATAACATAACTATGTAAGCAATCCCGAAATAAATGCTATATTGATATTGATATCATTAATGGCAAAAAATGTGATATAAGTATTACCACTTCTCGTTTTGTAAAATGTACCCTAAGGTGTTAACTTTCGTTAGAACACATAAAACTTATACGGCAATAACATGAGAAAATTGTCGTGTTGATACAGGATGATGTCAATTATATTAGTACTGGAATAAAAGAATAGCGAGTTTACCATTTTTTAATGTGGAAAATTGTTTTCGGGCGCTTTAGTGGTTGCTTCACAAATTTAACATGATTTAGAAAGTCTTGAAAGTGGCCGAGCAACACTTCCTGCATGTATTTTGGGATGTGCTTTACACCCATTTTGAGCGTTTGTAGGCTGGCATTTTCTGTCATCCATACGTCGGGCTGAGAAGTATTTACATGTTAAATTCCGAATTTATCTGACTACTTTTCTAAATGCGTGTATTTTTTATTTAATTTAATTCATTCATATATTTTAATTTACATTTCTATTTATTTATTATTTGAAACAGAGAACATTATCATCCGCCTCGTTAACTAGCAAGTATAGTTAAACCGCTGAATGCTGCTATTTATAGATGATCTGTACATTAGTGAGTAAATAAATTCATTTTAAATCTAAAGCAAATTTGTTATAACTAATTAACTATGCATGAAATAAATCGAACTTTAATTTTATTTGAAAGCTAATACAAAATCAAAGCGCTTAATCATATTTCAGACAATATTGCAGCAACAGAAATTCTGCAATTGTAAAAATTCGAATGTTAATAAAGTACGATATAATTTACCCATATTTTCAGCTCGCTTCTTAATTTTTAGAAATAAAAATTGAAATTGAGAAAATTGTCGAGTTGATGATACAGGATGATGTCAATTATATTAGTACTGGAATAGAAGAATAGCGAGTTTACCATTTTTTAACATGGAAATTTGTTTTCTTCTTTCACTTTGTAAAAGTGAAAGAAGCTTTAACTTTTACAAAGTGAAATTCTTGCTTTCACTTTGTAAAAGTTATATTGGAAGGTAGATAGTCAAGAGTTTTAACTCTTTTTTATAAATGTCTTTCATACTTTTCCGATTATCATGATGTACAGTTTCCTTGACATTCTCATTACAATTAATATGGTTTTCATTAAGTACCTACTTGCACAATTTCCTTGAAAAAAATCTAATTGTTAAGTTTGTTGTACAATCTACATCCCGTTTTGCTTGAAATTTATCAGTATTTGAAAGAAAATGAAAAATCTCCTATATTTTCATTTTGAAATTTAACTATACGAGCTTTAATCTCTTTAATAATTCTTACCTGAAACACCTTCTAATTGTTAATATAAAATTAACTTTCAAATGCGCTGAATGCATTGAAGAGAGGAGCTGTTTTTTTCCCCTGTAATCTAGTGATGAAATAAAGTAGTCCGCCAAGCGTAATTTCTGTCAAATTTGGCATAGATACTGAAAGAAAGGGGAAAAAAAGCATTTGGATTTGTTTAATTTTGAATCAAATATACCAATAATTAAGAAAGGACTCGTAGATTTCAAATCAAAGTAAAAGAAAAGTGTTCCTGAATTTAATAACTGTCATTATATAACTTAGTAATTATTTCAGTTACAGTTATGCTTATTTTTAACTCTATATTGTTTCTTTTATTTATTTTTTTATTTATTATTTTTTGCATGATTTTAATCTCAGATCAGTAGAACATATAAACTTAGAAGAAGAGAGTTAAATATTGTAGGTGTATAATTGCAGTTTGCACTGAGTGGTTATGGGCTGGGTCAACCCACAACAGAGTTTAACTCGTTGTTGTTAATTCCCGTACTGCAATAAAGCTGTTGAGCAGTAGATCTGCTAAATAAAACTTTGAATTGCATTGTAGTAGCTCGAATCATCATAGCCCATGTGTCTCACCAAGTCTTTTATTTTTCAGAAAAGATTGAATTCTACTACCGTATATCTGCAAGTCACATTTTTGTATTTTCCCAGTTTGCAATTTTTATTCTATTTAATTCTCAAAACATTGTGGCTGATTAATTGTACACACTTACCAATGAAATAAATGACATAACACTAACCAATAGATGGCGTCAATTAACTGAGGGATGGAAAGCTATATACGAACTTTTTAATTATTTATAACTTTGATTTGCTTTTAGCAAAATCTTTAATTTATACTATTTTTAATATATCTACTTCAAATGATTTATAATACTATATCTGATTGATAATTCTGATAAATATATGAATCAATTTAATAATTAACAAAAGATATTATCTAATGCAATCCATATATTGCATACTTTAGTAAGGAAACTCAGTTACACATAACTTAACAATTTTGCTTCTTTTTAATATGTTTTTCCTCATTTGGGCTTAAATTCTAAACCCAAATGAGCTCAGCCTCTAATTTCTCATTCTGCGTAATCGTAAGATGTAACTGTCTTAAAAAAGGTTGACTTCTCCTTTCGATACCTGCTTTAATTAATGAACTTACTTACTAGTCTAAAAAAAGATAGTTGTCACAAGTTTTTCACGCCTACAGCCATTTAGTAGGAGTCCCCTTCATTATTATTAACGTGTCATGTTTTTTTTTTTCTTAATGAACCTGCCAACGTTTTGCTATGTCTACAACTCTACCAATAAGACTTTTCTTAATACTCAGGTCAGTATTAAGAATACTCAACCCAGTATTTGATACTGCATTCCATCAACAAAAGAGATGTGGCAAATTATCTCAGAAGATTATATTTCTGTTCGCGAAAACTGGCTGTCGTAACCCAAAACTCTTCTGGCATTTGAAATATGTTTTTAGAAATTCTAGGTTGTTCCATTCTGACGAAAAGTATTTGCACTGTCTCATAAAATGTTCGTAGCCAATCCACAGACTGCAGAAGGTTTATCTGAAATCTAAACCAAATCTGTCGTTTCCTTGAAGTCTTTGAACAGCTGAAAAGTTTAATAGAAGGACTGTAACATTTATTTCTCGCTGTCGTAATCATCCTACAGGATGTATTTCAGAAACTTTCAAGATTATAATGGAGGAAAAATAGTAAAATATATTTTCCGTGTAACCCATCACATCAAAAGTCAATTTTTTTTTAAATATTTATTAACGAGCTACGTTCCAAGTAATATGAGGAAATGAGATAAAAAAATCTTGAGCTCTTTTAAGGAAACTGTATTTTCTCTGTTGATATAATAATTTCTATTGATTGCAACTGTTATGGCTGAGTTGAGTTCACCATCGAAGACCATTGAAAAAAATGGCAGCATTTATAATCTATTTTGAAAGATCAATTTAGGGAAAGCAATATGTTTAGCTAAAAATAGCTTTTCATTCGAATATTTTAAACAACCATTTAGTAGAAGTAAATCTAAAAAACAAGATGGTATGCATCAATTTTTCTATTACAAAATTTCATTACTAGTGCATTATTACATTATCATTATTGGATGTAAAGCAAAAACCTCCAATTATCCAGACTGAGAACTGCAACCCATCTGAAGGATCGGAAAATCCAGGTAATTCGGTTGTATTTTCTTACTCAGTCAAGTACAGTAGATCAATTTGATGAAAATTTACTATCATCAATCAAAATAATAATAATAATAATAATAATAAAACTCTTAGCCTACTTTTTCATGCGAGTTTGAACTCAATGACATCGATCCAGTTCTCCTGCAAATATTATTCTATATCACCATTTACATTTTATTTCTTCGTTTATAATCTTCATTTATAATAAATTATATTTTTTCTTCATTTATAATGATGTGTATTCTCTCATTATTCACAATATGTTCTTTCTGTCTTGAATACCGATATAATTTACATATTTACTCATGAATTTATTCTCCAGATAAAGTGCTTGAAAATGCACGTTAATTGTAAATACTATTTTTCTGTGAATTTATAATATGAATTATTCTTCTTTCCTGTGTTTTATAACTACATTTTTGAATGATGTTGATTTTGGATTAACAGTGGACGTTGCAAGTCGTATTATGCCCATGTATGGGATGTAACTATACATAAAAAGAATAAATATTAAAATATTGCTGTGAAGTAGATATGCTTAATCTGACAAAAAATGAATGATGAAATTATTTCCATTGCCTAAGCGTGAAACGCATTTATGTTTCAAGTATAACTAAAAACCGACATTAGTTTATATTTCCAAGATTTATTATGAATACATTTTTTATAATGAAAATTATTAATTTATAACAAGAAAGACCCACTAATGGCCGAGCAGATAAAACCCCTGAAAACTGACAATTCGACCCAGATTCAAATCCAGCTATCGGTCGGTTGCATGCGCATTTTCATGTTATTTTACCATGTATAACATAAATACAACAGTGTGCTTCTTAACTCTCCACGAAGGCATTCATCTCCTTAGGCTGATAACTCTATAGTGTGCTTTGACATAATATAAGAAATATTAATTATAACAAGAAACATTAATTCTGGAATCCTATAGCTTAGAATAAAACCTCCGTTCGTGCGAACTTAAGGATAAAAACTGTACATATGAATATGTATTAGTAAACAGAGGAGAGGAGAGGAAAAGTTTATTTGCTATCTTTAGGCACTCTATTGCATTCTTTTATTGTTTGAAGTTTTACAAATATATTTATGAAAGAAATATAAGCACTATTCATTAGCTGTGAGTATTTATTTGGATGATCCCATGGATTCCGCAAGTTCCGATTTCTTCCTCTAGTGAAACTTCTAAATTTCAAACGTAAATCTTGGACAGCTGAGAAACTCACAAATGAAGTCTGATAAGAATTACAGTGCTGCTTATAAAAATGACAAGGAGAGGTAATGAATTTCGGTGTTAATTTTCAACAGTGTATGCGAAGTAAAGATGTTCGTGTATACTGTAATTTTTGAAACAGTGCTTGAGAAATAAGCGTCCAGGTATTTGGGGAAGACAACACTTTTTTTTTTTTTTTTTTTTTAACAAAATGAGACGCTTCGGTCTAGTCCGAATACAGTCAAGTCGTTACCGGATACGCGTTATCTACTGGTGAAATGAATAAAATAGAACTTTACAATGCTGAAGCATTTCTGTGAAAACTTCATTTTTTTATTTATTTGTTGAAAATTTGCATTTTCTACTTGCCGCAGAGCTAAAAAAGGACGTCATGAAGCTTGATGATTTAGGCTAGTTAAGCCGTTAGCAAAGAGCTTTTAGCACCTTCGATGTTGCTGTGCCTTCCTTTTTTCATCATTAATAATCCATAAACTAAGGAAAAACACAACTAAGGCCTTAGCTCTAAATTTGATGATGAGAAGACCTTGAATATAATCAAGTACCTTGCGTCAATAATAGACAAGATATTCTCCTGGATTTCCTCATCTGCAAAAATTTGTAGGCAAGCATGCCTACGACACATGCGTATAACTGGGGCTTTAATCCCCATATAACACGGATTCTTCTAAAAACAGTTATAAAAAATGGTACATTACGGAGCCGGAATATGGGCACAACCAGTGACAGTGAGAAAGATTAAATGTTTAAATTCATTTCAAAGACATTTTACTCTTTGCATTACTCGAGCATATTGCATAACTTCAAATAGAGCTCTTGATGGTTTAGCTGGCATTCTTAAATGAAAACTGGATTAAAAATTTCTGAATTTTTTAGTGTGAACTATTAACTCGTTAACTAAAAAGATTTCTTGGATCTTTATTGTTATAGCACAGAACAAATGACTTTCTACGGATATATGCGCCAACGTTGTCTGTTGGTCATTGCTAATTAAAATGTGTTACTTATTTTAGCTTCTATAACTTTGTTGTTGTTCTGAAAATAAATTTTAGCAATAAAAATTTTTAAAGAGCTTCTTTTTTGTTTTGATTATCGAAATAGCTAACTTAGGGTATATATTTCTGATGATTAAAGTTTTTTTCCCACATTTAAAGTGATCACTTAAGTGCGTGTTCTGGTTGAAAGTATGCCAAAAGTACCTTTCTAGAAAAAATTGTTTGGTCTGTGCTGTCCTATAACGGGAGGTTTTCTGCAAATGGAAGAAGAAACGAACGTTTCTTTTGGAAGGAAAACTCTGGACTTGAAGTGGAGAGGTGGAAAAAAGAAAAAGATTTGTGAAAAGTACTAACATTAATATAAAATACGTACAGTACCTCAACAAATTAAAGAATTGTATAATGTCTGGTAGAAGCAGATATGTTATCAATGAATTTTGCTGAAAAACAATGAAAGGCATGAAAATATGATAGAGAAAATACAGCTTAAGGAAAACAATATCTTAAAAACTGCATATGTAGTAAATTTATATACACCTACCGGCTTACCAGAGACGAAGTAAAGATTTTTGAAGTTCTCGATTTGATGTGTTTGAAATGCACGAAAATTTCTCAGAAAATCTTACATGTTCCAGTCTTACTGAGATTACGGAGTCGATTCATCTAAAAAGCGTTCTATTTTAGGGAAGATGTG